GAACACTAGAGGCAGTAAACGGTGTTGCAGAAATGTACGCAGAGGTACGTATTTTTATGAGACTGGGTTGCGAAAAACACATGAAACCCCAGACTACTTTTTCAGAGAATTTAGCAGAGGTGTTTGTGTTGCACATCAACATTGATTTGCTATGACAGACGCTTCAGACTGTGAGATCGCGTACATTAACTGAGAGAAACGTTCATGGATCGAAGGAGAGTGGTTTTTTTTGCTTTGTAATAAGAGTTCGGTATAAACGCGATTCATTCACTTAGTGAGTGTAACTGTTTTTACAGCTCCTTGGCATAACCTGTCAAAAGGCTTATATACTGTAAACGCCGCAGAATAAGCCTTAAAATTTGTCAGAGGTGCAACAGCGCGTTCATATATATGTTTTCGATGCAGAGTGCAAATGGCTGTGCATTTATTTGTGTTTTAAACTCAATGGGAGTGAAATGAAACTGTTTGAAACCGAAGTTGTCTGTATTGTCTGTCTCCACTCTTCCCCCTCCGCTCCGCTGTGCACCACTCCCACTTTTTTAGCATTTTTTAAAACTGTGTTGAGAACTAACCAGTGCTGAAACAGAGGGTTTCATGACCCTTTAAAGGGATAGTTCACCCCAAAAAAAAGACCTTCGTTCATCTCCAGAACATAAATTTAGATCCGAGAGCTTTCTGACCCTGCATAGACAGCAACGGATCTACCACATTCAAGACCCAGAAAGGTAGTAAGGGCATCGTTGAAATAGTTAATGAGACATCAGTGGTTCAACCGTAATTTTTTGAAGCTATGAGAATACTTTTTGTACTACTTTTGTGATACTCTCGCGAACATGTGGCGGAGACTGGTACGGAAGGGAAGAATTGTCGACGGAAGTAGTTATTTTTGTTTTCATGTTGTTTATGCAGGGTCAGAAAGCTCTCGGATTTCATCAAAAATATCTTAATTTGTGTTCCGAAGATGAACAAAAGTCTTACGGGTTTGGAACGACATGATAGTAAGTAATTAATTAATTTTCATTTTTGGGTGAACTATCCATTTAAAAAGTCAAGTTGCCATGGCTTACAGTACATCTGGCCAAAATGTCTGGGTTTTGTGTTAGTTTTCCTATTGTTTTCTTTCTTGCTGAATGTAATGACTAAAAGTAGTTTGACCAATAGCGTGCAGGCATTGTACACAATTGACCAATTGTGGCATGCGAGAAGCTGGGATCTACAGAAAACGGTTTAAAGCAATGCAAATATGTATAGATGTAACATATGGGGACTGCAGAGAGCACGTCGACAGGAAAACAAAGCCAACACCCAGGCCTTTTGGGTAATTTAGAAACCCTGGCCAGGACAGGTCAGAGAGAAAAAAGAATGTATGGCTACATGACTAAAAAAATTTAACCTTTTTTTAATTATTATTATTATTATCTTTAAAATAAATGTACATTGTTCGGCATTATGTACTACAGCCCAATTTCTGTTAAGAAATGCAGTAACATATTTGGGAATCAAACAGTTTGTTGTCTTAAACTATTGACAAAATCACATGAATATTCATTAGGCTACATGAACACTCCTGAGACGACAACACTTGCGAAATAGCACAGCAACAGTAAGATTTTGAACAAAGAAACAAATGTATCCTGACATCACACGACAACAAGTTACAAATAAATGAGACAAAATTGTAAAAACAAACGAACAAACAGTCAAACCTTATTAATTAAACATGCACCAGTGAATGCTGGCAATGGGAGAGAATGGGAACCACAAAGCGCTTATTACAGGAGCAACCTGGTATTAAATGTTTTGCACAATGGTAACAAATTATGCATTACCCCATATGAGTTTTATGGGGGTTTTTTTGTTGTTGTTGTTCAAACCAAAAACCTTTAGCTTTCCTACTTGGATATTTAATCACTATTCACCATTACAGTTCTCAGAAATACAAAGAACATGCAACAAACTCTAGCTCTTATAATCCACTCTAGGGCTTTTCACACTTAAAATGGTTAACCCTGGGTCATCCTAAACCCCGGATAAATGGAATCCTGGGTTATCTGTAATCACGTTTCACACTGCCCATACTATACCTGGGGTTAATTGTTAATCCTGGGCATTCATTAACAGACGTTTCACACTGTACATTCCTAAACCCCGGGTTAACGTTCTTATTTGCACATTTGTGGTGTCACTGTCACTGATTGGACGAACAGCAGGCATAGGCCTGTCGCAATAATCAATATATCGACTTATCGCGCAATATATATACATGACCTCAATAATTTTTGGTGACGCAATATATCGGCCATTATATTTACTTAAAAATTTATGTCACCATGTTTTGTACATTCTACTTGCGCCTGTGTCTTTTGCAGCTTCTCATACATAATGCGGTGTAGTCATGAGGTGCTAGTTCAAATTTAAAAAGTGCTTCTACAAAAAAAAGTTTCATCTGCAGATATGGCCTTGTTTAGGGATCTGTGCCTTTACGCATACTGGACATCTGACTGCTAAGTAGTGATTGTTTTTCAGCAATAGTGTGCACCCTCAATTTACAGAGAAAAGAAGGTCAGGGAAAAATCT